CTTCCCTGCAGCGTTCGGGGTGCTGCTGTGGGAGATCGCCACCTACGGCATGTCCCCTTACCCTGGTATCGACCTGTCCCAGGTGTACGAGCTGCTGGAGAAGGACTACCGCATGGACCGCCCAGAGGGTTGTCCGGAGAAGGTCTATGAGCTCATGAGGGCCTGTAAGTGCTCCAGCTTTGCGCTCCACATGCTTGATGTTATGTCCCGGGGGCACCGAGGGGCAAACTGTGCTGGATTTCTCAAGGTTCCTGCTTTTCCGTAATATTAGGCAACCCCTCGGTCTGGCTGTAGCGTCTGCTTACTGAAGACCATCGTTTAGCTTGTCGCGGGTAAATTCCCAAGACAGAATTTGTTTTGAATCCTTCGCCCTGTGCCGCGCGTACCGAGTTTGGCCGCCAGCTTAGTTTTGACAAGGTTCTGCCCGTTTTTTTGTTTTTTTTGCAAGGCTGGAAGTGGAACCCAGCGGAGAGACCGTCCTTCGCGGAAATCCACCAGGCTTTCGAAACCATGTTCCAGGAATCCAGCATCTCAGACGGTGGGGGAGGCCGTTTCTCACAGTGCCTGTATTTCGGGAGGCTCGCCTGCTTGCGCCCCCCCGGCCTCACCTGCTGTTGCTTGTGTGCCTTGCAGAGGTGGAGAAGGAGCTGGGAAAGAAGGGGAGGAAAGTGGCAGTGCCCCCCTCCCTCCTGCAGGCCCCCGAGCTACCCACTAAGACCAGGACCCTGCGCAGGAACATGGACAACAAGGACGGGGACAGCCCAGGTAAAACCACCGCACGGCCTTCACCTGTCAGCCGGCGGTGTCGATTCATGCAGGTGATCATCGCCGAACACACCAGGTGAACACACCTGGCCTCTCGGCCGATGGAAACATGGCAACAGGCTGCACTCGCTAAAATGACAGAGCGCAGCCGGATCCCGACAGAAATCGGATCGCTCGGATATGTGCTGAAGGACTGGTCTAAAACCACAGTCAAAGTTGGCGTGTTACTGCATTTCAAGTGCGGGTGTGAAGGGATCGTGGGAGTTGGGCCTTCACTTAAAATTTCGGCGCTCGTCACAAAAGAAATGTCCTTCGCCCGATGCCAGCAGACTCCTGACCGGCTAAGCTGCTGGGTTCTAAGGATGTTGAAAAGGTTCTGAGACCAAGGCGTCTGGAATGTTTCTAGAACGGTTGGTTTATGTAGTGGGATTGAGACAGAAACGGTTTCCTCAGGTGCGCGGTGACCCTAGGTGACCCTTCTTTACAGGGTGATCGGGTTATCCAAACGCAGTGGATCTTTATTCGGGTCTCGTACATGTGAAAACTCGAGGCTGGGGCTCGCTGTTGGAAGACGGCTGAATTGGTTCAGGTGGGCAGCTGTGTCAGCATGCTAGGGCTGGAAAGGGACAGGCGAAGGTTCATTCCCTGCTGAAAAGAGAAGGAAGGAAACAACGTTTTCGGCTGTGGAGCCTTCTTCGGGCGTGTCAAGCTTTGGCAGAAGAAGGCTCCACAGCCGAAGCGTTGCGTTTCCTTCCTTCTCTTTTCAGCTGGGAATAACCCGACTGGGATGGG